CCCTGTGTGTGGGTGTGTGGGCTGTGGGGGTCCAGTGCTGGACACTGCACTGAGCATGGCACGTGTGCCTGGGCTTGGGAGAGATAATAAAGGAAAAAATGAAATAAATAACAAAAAGTTAAAATAAAAAAATTAAATAAGACAAAATAAGATAAAATAAATAAAATAACAAAAATAAATGAAAGTAAATTAATTCAATAAAGTCAAATAAAATAAATAAAATATAAAATAAAATTAAATCTCCCTGCTCACAGACACAAGCACACACTCTTGGTTTCTCCCTGTAAAGTCTCAGGGTGGCACAACCCACAAAGCCTCCAACCGAATACAGCCGGGGGGTCACCTCCTACTGCCTCCCACAACACCCCAAAGATACCAATGCTCCTGGGGGGAAAACCCCCAACCTCCCTCTCCTCTCCCCTGCCACCATGCAACAGCCGATGCCGTGACATGCTGGGGCGTGGGGACTTTTTCTGACGGTCGGCATGGCACAGCTCACCTGGGCAGGGGACAAGGGGGTTGGTGTGGGGTGATCACCCATTTTTTGGACCAAAGGTGCTGATTCCAGAGCCAGGTGCGGATGCTCGCAGCCGTTGTCTTGCCAGGCTGTGTTGCATTGCAAGATTTTGGCCCTTTAACCAAGTTTTTGACAAATATTTTTATCTGATTTCTGGGGGGATGTCTGGGCATGTCCTTCCCTGCTGCTCTGAAGCTTTGTATATGGAAATGTATAGACAGCTATAGCTATAGGTCTAGATGATATAGATGCAGATGATATAGATAGATGTAGATGTCCATATAGGTATAGGCATTGATGATATAGATTATATAGACATAGATGTAGATGTAGATGGTAGGGAGATGGATATAGATATGGGTATGGATATAACTATGTAGATATATAGATACAGACATAGACAGAGGTATACAGAAATAGAAAGACTTTCTAAGAGGCATGGTAATGAGGGATTCCCAGTGATTCATCTCCTTTCAGACTAAGGGATTTAAGGACCAAACCAGCAGGTAGCTGAGTAGCCCAACATTTAGAGCTGAATAAACAACTGAAAAAGCTTTAGGCTCCATCCCACATAGTCCTGGGACTTCCCGGTGTGAACCCCACGTATCCACTTGGTGGGATCTGGGTGGATTTGTTGTCTGCCCCTGTAAATGTGCCCAAAACCGTGCTGAGCGGTTCCCATGGCACTGCTGCTCCAAGTGTCCCTTCTCCCAGGTGTAGCCAGGGCTTCACAGATTGACTGCAAAATCCAATATTTTGGGGAAAAAAATCCCATATCTGTAAGAATTTCCTACTTGAGTGGGAAATAAATCCAATGTTAATTAATTAGCCTGTGCTGCCATGAGCTTGTGGACTCAAAGCACCATTTCTAGGCTGCTACCAATAGTTGGGTCCCTGGGGTCCCTCCTATCAATCTCATTTGGGGTTCAAGCCCAGCCAGCACCTACTTCCAGATAAGGACACACACATCGCAAAAGTGATTTCCGAGCTTTGCCGAGCTCTCATTTCTCAGGCTGACAGCTCTTTTCTCTGAAACAGCCACTCATCCCCAAATCCACAAATCAAACTGCCACAAGATCTTCCCCAGAAATCCCCTTGGGGTGGCCTGAGGATGTCCAGCCTGCGTGTCATTTTTTATGAGCCTGATTAGGTGATTTTTGGCAAAAAGCTGTTTTGCCCAAGGACGTTTGTCCGTCTCTAGCCCTTTCTCATAGTCACTGTGTAAAGAGAGACTTTTTTGCATGTGAAATGAGCGGATGGCCCCGATTCTCCCGTGTCCAGAGCCCAAGAAGTTTTTTTTCAGCCTCTCTGGTTAACGAAGCGTCTGGCCCCAAGGGGTCCTGGGGACCCTGGATCCTCCAGCCACTTTCCGGGTGGGGAGGGACGTGCCCACCTCCACAGAGGTGTTGCACTGCAGCAATTGGGCCCCCCAGGGTGTTTTGGGGATGGCTGGTGGGTTTAGTTGGGTCGGAAGAGGTGAGATCCATGGTCGGCATCTCGGCTCCTTGCAGGCGACCAGCGAGTGCGGGTCGGGCAGCTCGTCCTGCAGCCCCGAGTGGAGCAATTTTCGGCACCAACCCAGCGGGTAAGGTCCTCCCTGCCTCACCCTGGCATCCTGCAGCCTCGCTGGGGGACAGAGGGGGGACAGTGGGGGGATGCTGCAGCCCTGGGGCAGAGCATCGCTGAGCCACCACCCCCCCCCAGCAGGAGATCCTCAGAGCGGAGGACAAAAGGAGCCTTGTGCTCCGCTCCCTGCCCCGCTGTTGCAGAGCAATGAGCTCATAAATCCTCCAGCACTTCCCTGGCTCAGTGCTCAGTGAGTTCAGGCTTCTCCCATTGCCCAATTTCGCCGAGATTCTTGCTCCTCGTGAGCCACAGAATTGGGCTGCAGCAGCACGGGGCCCCGGCAACTTGGTCCCCATCAAGGCTTCATCTGTCACTGTCCCTTGGCTTGCCTTTGCCTGGTGTGGTGCTGAGCATCGCTGAGCTTCACTGAGTATTTCTGCCCGGGCTCCTTTCAATCCCTTCTGCAGCTGCTGATTTTTTTTTCCCATTACTGCAGTTACCATCAGTTCTCCCTGGCCAAATCCACCAATTTTTTTTTCCCCCAGAAGGCAGACAGTTCAAACTCATTTTTCAATGGGGAATAAAACCTAAAAAGTGTCCGAAACTTTCATTCCCCGTTGCCGTCTCCAGGGGAAGGTCTCATCCAGCCCAGGGTGGGAGATGGGAGCGGGTCCCCAAGTCATTCCAACCGTGTGGGGGATCACAGGATCCTCCCGGCATTGTCCCCGGCACATGGTTCCTGTCCCCAGCAGCGTCACCATCCCCAGCAGCGTCACCATCCCCTTGCTCTCCACAGATCACCTCCTGGCCGATGACACGGCGGAGGACCGTAATCTCCATTCACTCTCCTCCATCGTGGAGAGCATCGCCGTGGAGGACGTGGCCGTGACGTACCCAGAGGAGCAGGTTCAAAACTAAGCCAGTGCAAACCCCAGGGGCTCCTGGAGCTGGTAACAGGGTGGGAATGAGATGTCGGAGGGGTCCAGCCGCTGGAAATCGTTATTTACCCCTCCTGCGTTGTGGACTGCACCACTGAAACCACTCACCTCCTTTCCCACGCCTTGTGAAATGCTCCCGTCCAGCCAGATGGAAAAAAAAAAAGGAGGGAGAGGTGGGATTTCGGTAGCGCCACGGCCCCACGCTGGCAGCGACCCCGGTTCCTGCAAGGGCGGCCGCCTGGCGTCAGGCTCTGCTTCACTCCCAGCTAGGGGGCCATCGGTTTTTGGGGGCCAATGTGTGTGCTGGGTTCACTTGCTGATTTTTTTTTCCAAGATGCTCTTTTCGACCAACGTCTTTCTCAGGCTGGTGTCCTGTGGGCACTGAGCCCCACGGAGGTTGCCCACGCCGTCTTTTCTACTGAACGCTGTGTGGATTTGCTATTTGTTTTTTTTTTAATTATTATTATTTTTGCTAACTTATTTGTTTGTTGTTTTTGTTTTTTTGTTTTTTTTTTTTTTAAATAAAGGCATTCTTGTTTGAATGGCTTGGGGCTTCTGTTACCGCTGTCCTCTGCGCAGGTCTCCCCTCATTCCCAGGTTGGGGTTTTTTCCACATCAAAAAAACCAGCTG